AAACGTCATTGACACAAACGTGAGGTCGTATTTATTTTTTAACGTGCGAAAATTTCGGACTCAGTGTGCGATGGCCTTTTTGAATTACTAAAACTTTGTAGTTATAGTTATCATCCTTTGTGTGAACGGCTTTTAGTTCATTCAGAAATGACATATCATAAACGAATGAGTACAGATTTATTTTATGTTTTTTTTCTTTTGTTATCAATATGAATCACCAGCCTGGACATTCTGCAATATGTCCAAGAAAGGTATAAAGGAAAAATAAATTGGATATAAGCATTTCATGTCCATGCTTCAAGCATAGAAATGACAGTTACATGTTACATATGTTTTAAACAAATTGTTTGTTTAAAAAAACAATCAGTCATTCGCACCAGAGCAACCTGCATAAACCAATGTTTTTGCAAATGCTCTTAATGTGTATGCTGTTATTTGTTCTGTGGAACACAAAGAAATTTAAATAACCTTCAAGCAGACGTTTTTCATCCAACAGTTCCAATAAGAAAAAATAAATAAAAAATTACATTGAAACTTCATTAAATAAGTCCATATGACTCATGCACCACATTCCAAGTCTTCTGAATATGATAGCTTTAAAGAACAGACTGAAATTTGTTGTTATATATTGAAAATATATACCTCTTGCTGCTTAAGAGCAACTTTCAAATCATCATGACAAGACACATTTTTCAGTACACTGAGAATTTAACACACGACCATTGCTATCGTCATGCTCTACAAGTTCATCTGCAATCAATTAATAGTGCATATCTCTCTCCTTTGGCCTGTTACACAATTAGTTGGCCTGTTACACATGTCCTCTATCCTTGTAGGAGACAGTTCAGCTCTGTTGAATCAAAGCCTAATAAGATTCCTTATTAGCCAACAGTAGACGCATTGCAAAACACAGGCCTGGTTTTACAGCTGAACAGATAAGGAATCCACACCTATTAAGAGCATGACCCGAAGGAGGGCTATAAATTATGAGAAATGACATTGTACACTAAACTTCTTCAAAGATTGATGATTGTTTGTCTCCCAGCTGCCTCTCATTTCAAAGTATATAAAGATTGATGCATGTATACATATTAAACAAATTCCAACTCGTTTTCTCTCTTTCTGTATCTCAAACAGACACCCTTCCCTCACAAATACGCATACATACATATACAGCTATTCTGTCAAGATGTCAGCAGTCAATGAATTCCAGATGGTACATTTGGAGAGCAGCAGCCATGCCAGTTATGTCCATGTTATCTTAGTTTATACATACTTTACCTTCCTCCCATATATGTGAGATACTGTAGGGGAGAGACCAATGGCTTTAGACACACTTTCTACTCTCTTTTTTTCTTTTCTTTTTTTAAATAGTGCTGACCACAAAAATGTATTGCACATTTCAACCATCACCATTATAACAGCAACAGCAAAAAATAGAAAGCAACATGCATAAATCTCAAACCATTATTGTGGCTGAGAAATACTGTTATTTAATAAATTGCATACATTTAAAACCACATGAAAAACTTGCCCTAATAAACTGTGACAACTTGCCCTGAAATGACCAACACAATTTGTGTATAGTTAGTAATATAGGCCTACAGCCCTTGTAATAACCACCCTGTGTGACAACTAGCCCAATCTCCCCTATAAGGTAAAATAATTTATCACTGTGCAAGCCCTATATGTGCTGTGATCTCTCAGATTTAAACAATGTGTCTCACATGTCATTTCAAACAGTTACAAACAATAACACAACAGTTTATATTCCCAAACAGACAAACTGGTGTTCTGAACAAACAAAGCAAGGCTATATAATTAGAGTATCTGCTGTGTTTGTTACTTGCTGGAGTGAACTTAAAGTGGACTGTCAGAGTGATGAACAAGGTGTTGCTGACAAAGAACAGTCAGATCCATCGATATACAGAGACCGGAGTAAAACAAATATCAGCACATCATGGTTCTGCTATGGTCTTCACACATACAGTGTTTCAAAAAGTATTTTGTTCTTTGTGATTTTTATTTAAAATACTGGCATTCAAAATTTAATTTCATCATAAAAAAAAGGAAATATACTGTTTGGATTAACATTTAAGCACCAACCAATGCCATCAGACACCAACATGTGTAACACACCGATCCGACAAAACCCAACAAATGTGTCCATTGCTGTTCGGTGCATTGTGAAATGGCCTTTAGTGGACTGGTACATCTTCACATAATTCTCAGCCAATGAACTCTGTAGCTCTATCAGTCTGTTTTCAAACTATAAACACTGTCGCAGAAAAAAAATTATGTTTATTTTTAGTGCTTAGAAAAACAATGTAGGAGTGCAAAGGAAGTTGCAAATGAATACTTTGGGACTGTAGTACATTTTTATAAGTTTTATTTGAAGATTTTATCCAGCAGCCTATGCAAACTTTACTTGCAGCTTATGAATATTATTGCAGTACTGTGTTCAAATGTGTTTCACAGAGCACAGCATCAACTTATTAAAGGGATAGTTCACCCAAAAATGAAAATTCTGTCATCATTTACTAACCCTCATGTCGTTCCAAACCTGTATGAGTTGCTTTCTTATGTTGAACATAAAAGAAGATATTTTGAAGATTGCTGGTAATCAAACAGTTGGTGGTTGCCACTGACTTCCATAGTATTTTTTTTTCCTACTATGGAAGTCAATGGCAACCACCAACTGTTTGATTACCAGCAATCTTCAAAATATCTTCTTTTGTGTTCAACATAAGAAAGCAACTCATACAGGTTTGGAACGACATGAGGGTGAGTAAATGATGACAGAATATTCATTTTTGGGTGAACTATCCCTTTAAGCTTTGCCGTGTTTCCCAGGCTGTAGTTTCATAGGAGGGATGATAAGTGGTTGTGTATCATGTATTGCAAGAATTCCAAGAAATCCCAGAAAGAGTAATGTCTTCTTGCTTGTGCTTAAAATTCCATAGGTTCCAAGAGTTGCACAAGCTCTACTACTGCTCCTTTAACATTCCCAGCACTCCCAGGATTACAGATTCACATTTCCAAATTGGGCTGCATATTTAGACAGTGCAGTTCAGCGGTGAACCACAGACAAAGACTGCATGTGTAAAGACAACCCCAAAATGATGTAAAGAAAAATTAGGTCCCAGATTTAAAAAAAAAAAAAAACAACATTATTTTTGATTCATGATTAGTGATGATATGCAAAAGCAAACACACAAGTAAACAAACATAGAGTTCAAATGTATTGACACAATCAAATACAACATATCTATATTAACGTCTAAAGAATAACCACACAAAGTTAAAGCAAAAACTACATCTGAGTAATGTTACCAAAATTACTGCTATATTAACATATCCAACATGCCCTGAGACAGATGTTATATATACAATCTACTTTATTTTATGTTTATGACTATCTGCTTTCTCACTAGAATATCTCCTTTATTAGACCAGCATAATGTGCACAATTCAGTAGAATATGTGGTCGAAAGCATGCAGTGTTTATTTTCAAAGCTGTATGCCCACTGGAACTGACCATTGTTGTTTTGGTTTCAGGGGGAAAGACTTCTGAGATAGGACGTGACCAGAGGGCGTGAGATTGGACTGCCCTTAAAGAACTGAGCACTTCCTGTATGTCTTCCTGTGTTTGTGAGCTACATTTGGTTCAACAGAATATTGAACTACAGTAGACCTAAATGCAAGATCGCATGTTTAACAGCAGAACTCAAAATGCAAAGCATGCTTAATTGCATGAAGACAACACAAATGAGCCTTCTGATCATGGTAATAGCATGTACTTACTGTATATGCTGCACATGACTAGGCTGATGGGTCTATGTGGAGATGGCACTGTAAACACTGTGGAGCTCTTAACACCCTGCAGGCAGTGTTCTTGTTTACAGTCTGCTCTGGACATGTTCCATCTTTGTTTTTCCACATGGTTGAGTCGTTCTAGTGACAGCTCTCAGAAGTTCTGGAAGCCAATGGAAAATGTGCCATCTCACAAAGTCGTGAGGCTTCGCACGAACAGGCCTCTAGAGTTTGCTGGAAATTAACCACTATGTCAAGTCAAGGTAAACAGTGTCATGTGAAGGTCTCGGTCAATCTCTAATAATATCCTGCTAATTCTTCATTTGATGGCCACACAACTGAACCAGGGCTGAGCTACTGTACACGAATGATGAGAATTACATTTTATGTCATTAACTTTACTTTAATATTTGTGTCAGTTTCTTGTCAAAGCACATAATTTCCCCCCAATTTCAATACACATTACATATTACATATATACACTACTGCTCAAAAGTTTGGGGTCAGTATGTTTTTTAGAGGAAAAAAATGAATACTTTTATTCAGCAAGGTTGCATTAAATTGATCAAGAGTGACAGTAAAGATATTTGCAGTATGATGTTTCAAAAGATTTCTATTTCAAATAAATGCTGTGATTTTAAACTTTTAAACAACTTGTTTTGATCAAACACAATAAATGCAGTAAAAGAGACTTATGGCGTATATAAAAATAAAATATCAATAACACATAATAAATACATAAATAAACACATTTTCCTATTAACAAAACAACTTTTAGAGAACAGTCAAGAGTCCAATGTGTCCATGCAAATGCATGTCATCACCTCATTCAACTAGTGAGTGTCTTTCTCGTATTCGAGAGCTAAATTTAGCACCCAAAACCTGCCACTTCACACACATGCACCGCACATGCCCGCTTTAATGACCACACTTTAATGTTTGGAGACAATTTCCCCTCTATTTACTCCAGAGAGTCCAAAGCTCAGGTGGTGCCCAGTGACCAGGCAACTGAGTGGATGGATAAAAGGAGCAGGCTGAACTCATGCAGGTCGTCGCAGGGATGACAATCCAGATTCAAGACACTGAAAACAAGATTACGAGATTTTACAAATAGCTACTTGTGCCTGCTAAGACTCATAATGTTACCCAAAAACTGAAAGCATGAATGAGGATCTGTAATATTGCTGTTTTATAACAAACCGACAGCAGTAATGGAAGTCTTTTATGGTTATGGGATCAGCAGTACGTTATACCTGCAGACGCATTATGGACATGCCCAAAGCTGGTTTACATTCGTGTCTACAATGGCAGACCTGCGTACAACATTTTTATACTTTTTTCCCATTTGGTTTCATCTACAATCAGCAGTGGGAGTGAAGCTGGTCTGGGTTGCTGTTGTGGGAGATTGGCTCAACTTAGTCCTCAAGTGGTAAGTATTGTTGTTGCTTCTGTAAATATCCATGAATATCCTTTTTAAAAAAATCTTAAAAGAAGCATTTGGAGCCAGACTGAATGGATAAATAATAGAATAATCACAAATCTCAATATCGAATGTCTATTGGAAATGTAATTAATTTATCTTCACTGGTCCTAATCAGATTTATTTATTAAATCATTAAACAGGCTTATGTTTGGCGAGCGTCCTTATTGGTGGGTTAAAGAAACTCTTTATTATGGCAACTTGACTGTACCACAAATCAAACAGTTCCCCATGACATGCGAGACCGGCCCTGGTGAGTGTCTCCTTATGTTTCTCATTGTATTTATATAGACCAACCAACACACTAAATCAAAAGCAGACTTCATTGCGGTTTCTGACTGCTCTTCTAGGAAGTCCCTCCGGTCATGCGATGGGATCTGCAGGGGTTTACTATGCCATGGTCACGTCACTGCTGACGATTTTGCAGGAATGTGACCCCCTAAAAAGATGGTGAGTGATTATGTCCTGTTTATATTTTTTATATAGTCTTCAATAAGAGTTCATTTACAAGATAATACCAGACCGAATGCATGGAAATGCTCCTCAGTCACAAGAAATCATCCAGAACCATTGAGAGATAAAAAGGAAGGACAGAAAACCCTTGCACAACATATCACAATCTTTCCAGCATCCAGCCGGGCGGAAATACCTCATTAACCACTAGTAAACTCATTTATCTTAGCAGCTAATTTTTATCACCATATTCAATTCAATTCAATTCAAGTTTATTTGTATAGCGCTTTTCACGATACAAATCGTTGCAAAGCAACTTTACAGCAAATTAAGTTTCTACAATATTTAGTGGTAGCTTATCAGTGGTGACTGTCAGTTAATGTACATATGGCAGAAATGTACGGAAAAATCAAGTTGTATATTGTAAAGATGCAGATTATTTTGGGTAGATGATGGGCCAGTTACTCATATAGATATTGAATGTCATTTTGAAAAATAACCAGATTCTTCATGTCTATGTTTTGCTATTTAATATTAATGATAAACATTTTCCTTCCTTTGCATTTGTGCCATATACTAGGTGCTTGCATGGTCTTCTTTGGGCCCTTTTCTGGGGTGTGCAGGTTTGTGTCAGTCTTTCTCGAGTCTTCATTGCAGCTCATTTCCCACATCAGGTCATTGCGGGAGTTGTTTCGGGTCAGTTGCATTGTATATTTTTCATATTAGTCTGCCATTCAGAATTACCTACAAGATGAATACGATCTCTTACTTCTCTTATTCTGGTTTCAACATACAGTTTCTTAAGTAACTGTTCACATTCACAATACAGGAATCGCTGTGGCCAAGGCTTTTAATAGAGTGTCCTGGATCTATTCAGCAAGCTTGAAGAGTTATGTGCACACCATCCTCTGTCTTGTGTTTATTGCGCTGGGGCTCTATGCATTGTTGGATGCTGCTTCAATAGACCCCTACTGGAGCCTAATGAAGGCACAGAAGTGGTGCATTCAGCCTGAATGGGTCCATCTGGACACCACACCCTTCGCTGGCCTCCTCCGCAACACCGGGGCCCTGTTCGGCCTGGGGCTGAGCCTCCATTTGCCTATTCATGGTGAGCTGCAAAAAAACAGGAACTGTGGAAACAGCGCCATTTACAGACTGACCTGTACAGCAGCAACACTGCCACTCCTGAGCCTCTTAGACTCATTCAAACCTCCCACAAGCACTCATGCGCTCTTCTATGCACTTTCTTTCTGTAAGAGTGCCACTGTGCCTCTAACCACAATACGTTTTGTACCTTACTGCATAAGCACATTAGCAAATGTATACCACAGAATGAAATCATATTAAACTCGGAAAACACATTCTGAGATTGTATTTAAGTCTGCATGCAATTAAGTCTGTATTAACCATTTTCCTCACTTTGTCTGTTTTAAAATATTTTAATGTAAGTATTATTCTTGAAAACCAAAGATTATTTGATATGTTTTGATTTTAATGTATGCAAACTGAATTAAGCCGAGATAGCATCAGGAATATCCAATGCTATATATAATAATTCATGTAAAATATTATATAATGTAATAAATAATATAAGTGTGTCATGATGAAAAGCGATCAAAGAGCTATAATTATATGGTTTTCAGTCCAAATGTACGTACATTTATTATATGGTATATTTTATAGTATCTGCTGGCCAACATTATTGTTAGATTTTTTTATAATTTTTTTTTTTTTATTTGTTTGTGTTTTTTATTTGTTTGTTTTTTTAATGTTTGTGTTTTATCAAGCTTATAATACACTGTTCAATGGCAGGTTTAGTTGTGACAACTTACCCCATATAATGTGACAACATGCCCCTCTATAATAGACAAATGTTGTTCAATGTGCCTACAGAGACATTGATTTTCAAAAAAAAAACTATGCTGAAAGATATTATTAATCAAACTGTTTATTATTAGTAGTATTATTGAGCTTGAAAATTTGTATATAATAGCAGGGAAATATATATTACACAACTTCAAGTAATACACTGTTGTATTAAATATGTTACAGTCTAAAAACAATATCAATGGTTCATCTATTATAATTATGTTATGAAATGCACACTGCACAGTGTATTAAACAAATCTGGTTACAGAGACCTTCAGAAAATTCAAACTCATGATGAAACGCTTAAAATAGGCTAACATGTCTTTATCAGACAGTGACATTAGTGCCGCCATCTAGCGACAGAACTATTACCACAGGAACTGCACAACGTTAATAATATCTCTTTTCTTTGTGTTTTACCTGATACACATTTGTAATCAGCTAACAATAGGGTAATCATACATAAATCGTCCACGTCTGTTTAAAACAATGGTTACTTCCTCGTCTTTATCATTTTCCGTGAGACCCTTACATTAGAATTTTGTACCGGAAGTGGAGGGTGTAAACAGACCACGCGCGCAGTCATGACCCATGACTGTCAGTGATGAAGCAGTGTTTCCTTGTACCACATGAATGTTTCCCTCACTTCCACAGGGATGCAGCACTTAAGCAGCCTTCGACAGGTTTCGGCGATCTAACTGCATTCAGAAATCCAGCAGAAATCAAACCTCGTGAATCGTCTGCAGCAGAGAGCGCCGGGGAGAAGCGCAATGCCGCGGCGGAAGGTATGACTGCATCCTATAGGCCATCTGCGAACATCGCGTACCTGCGTGTTTATGTGTAGCCAGCCTTCACCTGCCAGAAAAAGGCACTTCCAAAACTGTGGCAACAAAGATGGAAACATAATTAGTCACACCAGAGGTGTTCAGCTGGGTTTCTGCAGACCACTCAAGTTCTTCCACACCGACTGAATCAATCATTTCTTTTTGAACCTTGTCTTATACACAGAGGCATTGTCATGTTAGAAAAGGGTCCTGTCCAAACTGTTGCTATAAAATTAGAAGCACACAATTCCCTAGAATATCGTTATATGCTTAAACATTGAGATTGTACTCATGGAAATGACTAAAGCAGTCAAACCTGTTCATTAGAAGGGGGTGTCTCAATACTTTTGGCAATACAGTGTGTGTGTGTGTGTGTGTGTGTGTGTGTGTGTGTGTGTGAAGCGAGCAGGTGAAGGCTGGCTACACATAAACACGCAGGTACGCGATGTTCAAGGGAATTGTGTGCTTCTAATTTTATAGCAACAGTTTGGACAGGACCCTTTTCTAACATGACAATGCCTCTGTGTATAAGACAAGGTTAAAAAAAGACACCAAACACCAATGACTTGTACATACAGTATATGGACAAAAGTATTGGGACACCCCACAGAAAAAGGCACTTCCAAAACTGTGGCAACAAAGATGGAAACATAATTAGTCACACCAGAGGTGTTCAGCTGGGTTTCTGCAGACCACTCAAGTTCTTCCACACTGACTGAATCAATAATTTCTTTTTGAACCTTGTCTTATACACAGAGGCATTGTCATGTTAGAAAAGGGTCCTGTCCAAACTGTTGCTATAAAATTAGAAGCACACAATTCCCTAGAATATCGTTATATGCTTAAACATTGAGATTTGTACTCACGGAAATGACTAAAGCAGTCAAACCTGTTCATTAGAAGGGGGAGTCCCAATACTTTTGGCAATATAGTGTACATACATGAGATCCAGAAGTTTGAGTGGGGTCGCGCAGTCATCATAAGCAAATGACTAGTTAAATTGTTTGTGTGTGGAATGTGCAGATGGTAGCCAAAACTATAAAATGAATGCTCTGTGTAATTACATAATACAAGTTTTCACATATGTAATGAGCGCATACACAAATAGTTCATATTTATTGTTCCGTCAATTCAGACATTTGTTTTTGTGAAAAGGGAAATGCTAAAATAAGGTATTTTTCTCCAAGTCGTTGTAATTACCTTATATCAAGTCATGTTTTCATACATGCTGATAAAGCTAGATTTACTGTCAGGAGAATATATATATTCTTTCGATCAGTGCTATTAGGATTCATTAGACTCACTCAAAATAATAATGGGGATTGAGAGAGGTCCAGAAATTAGCTACAAGGGTGTTAAAAGCATCATAGCCCATGACTTTTTTATAGGGGTGCTCCGATCAGGATTTTTGAGGCCGATCACAGAAAGCAGTATCTGCCGATACCGATCACCGATACCGATCTTTTTAAAGCCTTCTTTTTATCATTTATAACTATTTATAGTGATACTCCGATCAGGATTTTTAGACATTTATTCAAGCAAGTGGCAAAACATTTAAACTACTTTTCTTACGTTATCACAAACTTACCATTGACAGAAATAGTCAGCTTTACTGCCCTTCCTTTTGCATTTAAATCTTTATTAACCAATCCTGTCGATCAATCATCCCAACCTGATTATCGGCCGATGATGATCGGTAGCCGATCAATCATCCCAACCTGATTATCGGCCGATGATGATCGGTAGCCGATCAATCATCCCAACCTGATTATCGGCCGATGATGATCGGTAGCCGATCAAACATCCCAACATGATTATCGGCCGATGATGATCGGTAGCTGATTTGTTACAGTCAAATTACCCTAATTAACAGTGGTATCAAGCTTAAAATGTGGAGTAAATTTTCATGAAAAGCTTATCATCCCTTTAAAAGTATTTCATTCTCATTTGTTTCAGTATCTGTATAACAATAAAAAAGATAACTGTAACAATTTACCATAAGATTCCATTGGCTAACCTTAGATTACACTAGTTAAGATTAAATAAAACACAGACTAAAAATACTTCTAAAGCAATTATTAATCTTAGTGTTAATTTCAGCATTTACTAATACATTGTTAAAATCAAAAGTTGAATCTGTTAAAAATCAATCTGAGCTAAGATGCACTAACATTGAACAGTTTCATTTGTATTAACAACAATTATGTTATGCTTATTGTTAGTTAATGCTAACTAATGGGACCTTTTTGTAAAGTGTTACTAAGATCTAATTTGTATTCAGTGACCAGAGTGGGTTTGGATGTTTTTGACACTTAGAGAAATGCGGGCAGTAGCTCTGAAGGTACAGAGGATTCAGACTTCTCCGCTGAGCACACAGACAGCTCCGAGAGTGATGTCCACACGGTGAGAAACACCCGCCTCACTCGCTCCTCACTGCGCCTCAGCCGCAACTCGCAAGGTAAGACTGATCCACTTACTTAGAGCTCTTCAGTAAAAGTATAGATTTACTAATAATGATGCTAACAATGACTTTGGGCTGTGGGAATGATGAAATTATAAAATATTAATGTAATTTTTTTTTTTACCCTTAATAAAAAAAAAAAAAAGGTTTACATCTTAGGTAATGGGTTGACTGGTAGGAAGCATGATGGCTGGAGAACAAATAACAGAAGAATGAGCGAATAAACCTGAGAGCTTTGTTTCTAGATTCCAGTCCTGTGGGGAACCCGTCTGCCCCGGTTTCAGAGGAGGTGGTGAACTATTCCACCCGTCGCGTGACTCGTAGTCAACAGCAGGGGCTGACAGACTTGCCCAAGAAATACCCCTTGCGGCAGAGTCGCTCTTCTGGCTCAGACACGGAGCAGCATGGGGAAATCTCAGAGAGGGGTAGGAGGAGAAAACCGCATGGTTCTTCACTCATGCCTTCCCTCGTTTGAGTATCTCCATGCTTTGCTCTGCTCACATGTGCTTCTCTTAATTCGCTTAGTTATTTTTTTCTTCACGGCTCATCACAGATTTTCCTCAGTTCATACAACATGTTAACCATTCAAAAGTTTGAGGTCAGTAAGAATGTTTATTTTTTCTTTTGTTTTTAAATTCTCTATTAATCAAAGAATCCTGAAAACAGTTTCCAAAAAATATTAAGCAGCACAACTGTTTTCAATGTTGATAATAAGAAATGTTTGTTGAGCACCATATAAGCATATTAGAATGATTTCTGAAGGGTCATGTGACACTGAAGACTGGAGTAATGATGCTGAAAATTCAGCTTTGCATCACAGGAATAAACTACATTTTTAAATATATTACAATAGAAAAGTTATTTGAATCTAATAATATTTCACAGTATTTCTGTTTTTACTGTATTTTTGATCAAGTAAATGCAGCCTTGTTGAGCAGAAGAGACTTCTTTCAAAAACATGTTAAAAACCTTACTGACCTTAAACCTTGAAATGGTAGTGTACATCATTTTCATAATTCTTTGTTAAGATTTAAAAATTGAATTATTTGAAGTAATGCATTAGACTTTCATAATATCTAATTTCATGTAATTTTGTGGCTTCTGCCTATTTTTTCTATTGTAGTTTGCCATCATTTGATTGCATATGCACCACTCTCTCTTTGTTCGGTTTTGTTTAATACATATATATAAAT